CGAGGATGTACAAACGCGTGTCAATCTATAATTGGAAAGGCCCCCCTCCAAAGCTGATGTAGCCGAGCCGATGTACGTGTCCCGAAAACTGCGCGATGTTAGGTATACGCATTCGCGCGCCCGCCTTCCTTCGGCGCGCGAATGCGTATAGCGGGGAGCTATAGCTATACATTCCGCGGTCGCGTGCGCCCAGTCCCCGCGGAAGTGCGCGGCTTAACCGCTTTCGGCGGTCGGGGAACAACGCATCTTTTGCGCAACGCCATCTTGTACACGGTCTCTCTGGAATGTTACCAGGATACGTTCCGGTATACCGGACCGTACCCAGGGTACGTTCCGGCAGTACCCTGGGGGACATAGACCCTATGAGCCTTAGTATTATAGTAATGACTAGGCCTAATGCCAGTATTAAAATGGCTATGACTATGACTCGAGTATGATAAGCTAGTGCAGTGGTACGAAAACAAACTATCCACCCTACTTTTCACAATGAAAATCTGTATAGTTTTTGTCTTAACTGAAAATAGCGACCCTTTAAATATCTTACGTCCGGATAAATTTGGAACTCGTCCCGTTTTTGATGTAATTTCGGCTGACAATGTGGCATATTGCTGCTCAAACGACTCCAAAAGAGACGCCATGATGCCCGCACGGTAAAACTCTGCGATAGGTTAAACATGTTTTTTTCTTATTATAACAGTAATATACTTCAGATAACTCAACTGCTAACATAAAATTACTATTTAAACTAATATATTATGTTACATATAGTTAAGAATATGCATATGTAGCATATGTGTATACGTTTTTTACGAATAAGTAAATTGTACTTTGATTTGCGTGAAACAGCCACCGAGAGGTCTCTTTTCCGTAAAAGTGTTGCAAAGGTAGTTTAAAAATAATATTTTGTAATATATCGGTGATTATCTAAGCAATCCGAGAAGAAATATTTCGCAAAATAAGCTAGGCGTGAAGTTTGATCTTTTTAATTTCATTATTACGCTACTTTATCACCCTAATAGATATATTTACTATCAAATAGACTAGCTTCCACTCGTCGACATGATATTGTTTATATTGTGTTGGCTATAATCTGAACACTGCTACACTAGTTCCACGTTCTTGTTCGGGCTATCGCTGGTGTTTATCCGCAGCAGTACACTCGATAATGAAATACTAATAGTAATTAATAATAGCGTTCATTTTGTTACGCAGAAGATGGTGCAACGACTAACTTTCAGGCGCCGCCTGTCTTACAACACCACCTCCAATAGGAGAAAGATGTAAGTGTCAATTTAATTATTACTCTTTACCCTCAGTCGTTTAAATAATATCATTGCTGTCACAATAAATAGTAAACTGACAGTGCTATAACTGCAAGTGTTCATATTAACACTGTCGCTCGATTCCAGTGAATGTTAAGCGCGTTAAACCCACAGGTAGATCTGTGTATTCAGTAGAGAGGATCTCCTTGTCACGTATAACTGTAAGAGTAATGACGGTTGTTCAATTTTCTTCTTCCAGCTCCAAAACACCTGGTGGTCGATTGGTTTACCTGTACACCAAGAAACCAGGTAGCTTGGCGAAATGCGGTGATTGCAAGATAAAACTGAAAGGCGTAAGTAATACCTTGTATTTCTAGTCTTCTGTTGAGAATCTGTACAGGACGCGATCGATCTCAGGGTTCTCCAAGAGCACTTATAGCCTGGCGGCCCGCCAGGCTATCGTCGAGCCCTGCCACTCTAAATATCATAGCCCCCGGACCCCCCTAGCACACAAACCGCCTTCGGCGATTTGCAACTAGGACCGTAAAGGCAGCACCCGCCATGCTATAATGGAAAAGCTTGGAGAACGCTGGATCTGTTCCAAACGGTCGTGTCTGTCATTATGCTCCCCTTAAGCTGGTACCATTTGCAGAGCGAAGTGGTTTAATTGCTTGGTTCAATGTAGCTCTAGTACTATAGCCCTTCGCTCTGCCGCAGAAATTCCCTGCTATAGCACTAGTGCAGCAGTACATTAGCTGCAGTTGCAGCATTCCGCATTAAATTGACTACGTCACGAATTTTCTATGGTAAACTTTGTAAACTTTTTGTTGCCATTTTTTTACATTAAAAGTAAGAACTAACGGGACTAAACGTATCGTCAAATTCTTACCTGACAAGATTGTTTCTCAACTAAATTCAAAAAATCTGGACGATTTGATATTATGTTCCTAACATTAATTGCTTGCTATGGGCTATGTATGAGTCACGAGTGTATGTTCACATCGAACAATATAGTAAAATAGGGAGTATAATGCAGCAATTTAACCATAAAAAGTGAACAGAATTACTTATATTTTGTGAAAAAAGTGGAAATGTTTTTTTTATTTTTATTATTTACGGTGACGTAATCACTTTAAGACAAATCTTGTTTCTGACAACGGGCTGAATGAATAACTGTAATTTAAGAAGGGGTCGGACATAGGTTAGCGATTGGTGTACGGTGTTGGTGTACAGTATTTTTCTCTCGTTCGCAGGTCGTCCCGGCACGGCCCAAGGAGCTGAAGTCCCTGTCCCGGCGGCACAAGATGGTGTCACGGACGTACGGCGGATCCCGCTGCGCCACGTGCGTGAGAACCAGGTGGGTGTTTGGGAACTTAGATTGGTGGTGATGCGTGCGTGAGAACCAGGTGGGTGTTTGGGAACTTAGATTGGTGGTGATGCGTGCATGAGAACCAGGTGGGTGTTTGGGAACTTAGATTGGTGGTGATGCGTGCATGAGAACCAGGTGGGTGTTTGGGAACTTAGATTGGTGGTGATGCGTGCGTGAGAACCAGGTGGGTGGTCAGGAACTTGGCTGAGTTGTCTTATTGCCTGGAGGCTATATGTACATTTAAATGAAATATAAATGTATAATAAAATAATTTTGCACTTAGACTAGGGTCTCAGCCCGAGTTACCACATTGTATGGGTATAGACAATAGAGGTTTACCAAACACTGGCAAAATTCATGAAACCGAGACACATTCGGCCCCCAAGCATGTCGAATGAGGGGTACTCTATCTGTATTGCTCTTACGAGGAAACGTGTTGGTGCCTTTTTGCGTATAAGCAAATGTCAGTATCTTACTAATGAAATGTTAATGCTACCGCAGCACTTGCCGTCATTAGTTATTAATTACTACTTCTCTAATCTGGGTATTTTTCTCATTCTAGGATCGTGCGTGCTTTCCTTATTGAAGAACAGAAGATCGTTGTAAAGGTACTGAAGGCACAAGCAAAAGCGGCCAAAAAGTGAAATTAATGTACAGGCATACGAGTAAATAAATATTAAAAAACTGAAGCAAGTTGTACGATTTCATATCTAGTAGTAAGGTAATGGTGCACTGATGTAGTGGTATGTTATACCTAACTACTCACACCTGTCCACGCAGAGCTTTAAACATATAATTCGCAGCACAATTATATGTATGTAAGTCGCGGGCGATGTATAATTCGCGACACTAGCCCCAACCATTGGGGAAACAAACGATTGCACAATGTTACGCGGTGTTGCAGGTAATTGAACTGTTGGGAAGGTTGGACTGCTTACAATTATGACAGAGGTAATCGAATCAGGAATTTTCATATTATACAACTCCCGAACATGTCTTCTGCATTTTAAAGATATTTTCTTGACAAACTAAGATGTTTTCTGACAAACTAAGATGTTTTCTGACAAACTAAGATGTTTTCT